TGAACAACAGACCAACAGTGTGTCCACTGACCAGGCCGCTGCAGTGGTGCTTAATTCAAGTGATGAGAGGAGGCACTTGAGGGATCACACTCCTCTGAAGAGCAGGGAGGAGCAGGGTATAAAAGCACAGTGGAATTAAAGGAATAAAAACATCCTTCAAGATTCAGCTGCTTCCGAGAACTGTGCCTTTCGTCTGCGATCCCATGTGTTATCCCTCTCATTCCACACACATCTTCCAAGTGTAATTATGTAGGAGTGCGTCCCCTTTCTTAACTAAGCTTCTTCAAGGTTGCATCTTACTCATCTTTAGTAGGTGCTGGAGACGCAAAGAACCTGGCACACAGAACGTGTTCGATAAATGATGAATACGTTAAGTCAAAGAATAAATGGAAAGATGAGAGATGAAAGTTGCTAACTGCACTTAATTCACTGAAAAGGAAGAGAAGGTTAAGCCAAGTCGTAAAATTCAAGGAGAAATAAGATCTTCAACTACAAGAGGAAAACAGCACCATTTTATTTTCAAAAGACAGAGATGCATTAATAAAGCTAAAGCACATCCTGTTGGTTAAAAAACAGATGCACGGTCAAGGAATGAGGAATAAACAGGTAAAAGAAACAGCCAGGCTCATAAAGGTGCCTCCAAACTTCTCAAGATTCTTGGAACATAATCAAGAATCACTGGACATTCTACTCCTAGCGTATAGAGGGAATATTACACATCCAAACTCACACTTTGAAAAGCTTTGAAAATTTCTGGAAACTGAGTCAGCAAGTCATGCTATCTCTATGCACTATGAAGAGTCAACAGGATTACACAGAGAGTCTGCCAGAGGGTATGACAGTGAAATTTCATGTTACAGCTGGAAGGAGAGTGAAGGCAAGGAAATGGCAGTCCTCTTTTGTTGTGTTTACTTCCCATCCCTACAGTCTAACCTCAGTGTGTACCCTGGAGTACTGTATTCAACTAGGAGGCCACATATAAAAAGGGATATCAACTGCCTCAAAGTTGTCCAGAAAAAAATAAGACTGACAGGTAAAGGGTCTGAAACCCAAGTCCTGTGCTGCATACCCAAGAGAATGGAGAAGATGAAGCCTGATTTTGAGACTTAAAGAGTGTATTTATCTTCAAATACTTAAAGAGAAGAAAAGGTAACACTGCAGAGGCCGAACCCGAACTATCAAATTAAAGCAGCAGACTGGAGGTAAGAAACCCCTTTAAAAGCAGAACTTTCTGAAAGCAAAATGCACATTCTGGGAGAGAGGACTGATAAAAGTTCTAGCTCCTGTGGGTGGTAGTTACATGGGTGTTTGCTTCACACATACAGCTGATCCCCATCATTTGTGGAACGCATACATGCCAGTTCACCTACTAGCTCAATTTTGTTTGTCACCCCCAAATCAGCACTCCCACCACTTTCACCGTCATTTGAGGACATGCGTGTGTGGAGACTGGTGGAAAATCTGCCACCCTATACACCCAGCTGAGGTCCAACAACCAAGGCTCTGCCTTGCTTCAGATCTCCCATGGTAAAGCAGGTGCCTTTTTTTGCAGCCTACATAGAGCCATGTTTTTCACATTTTTGTGCTTTTTGTTGGTGCTGTTTAAAATGCCCCTGAGTGAAGTGAAGTGCTGTCTTAGTGTCCCTAAGTGCAAGAAGGATGTGCTATGCCTTACGGGAAAAAATGTATTAGATAAGCTTCATTCAGGGCATGAGTTAGGATGCTATTACAGGCTTTGAGCTCAATGATTTCAAATCAAAAATACATATTTAATATGTCTTTATGAGAAAAAAAATGAGGTTACGTATCGATTAATTAAAATGTGGTGACCAGCCAGAGGCTCACAGGAACCTACCCATGTACTTCCTCAAGGGGCAATGACTCAATATTCACTGACTCAGTGTTAGAGGCAACTTTGCAGAACGTAACTACCGCAAATAACAGTAACTAACATCTTCACTAAGCTGTACACCTGTTCATGTTTCATGGACTGTATATGTTCAATTTCACAAGCAAAAAGAATGTTTTGATAGGTGGGCTTCATGCATTATACAGAAGAATGAAATATGCAATTTCTCAGGCCCCTTCAAAATGTAAACAATCATTAGCTTTGCACTTACAGAGATAAGCAGAATTTTAAAACTCCAACCGTGCTTCTGGTTAGCAACATGTTCTTTTTGCGAAGGGCTGAAATGGGCTATAGGCTCTGAAATTTCAACTTTCAAACGCTAAGTGAAGAGGGGATTCCAGGACTTCCCCGGATGTTGGAAGATTCAACACAAGCATCTAATTATGCTCCCTCCTGAAAACCTACTAAAGCTATAGTAAAGGGATTTTTTTTTTTTTTAAAACGTACAATTCTGCAAGAATGAGGAAGATGGGAAAACAGCAATTCAATTTTAGAAGAAGGCAAGCGGATGGAAGAAAGCAGCAATGTGGAAAACCGAGAATCAACCACACTTACACTGCAGAACTCCTCAAAAGATCCGAGAACTGGCTACACTGGGTACGCCTCTGAAAGTGGGGGTCAAGTGAGAGATTAAAATAAGGCTTGTCAAAAGTGGAAGGATAATTGGATCCTTAGATGCATGTTTGGAAGTTTATTCTCTGGAGTGGACAAAACAGAGAGAAACCTCTGGATTGGAAGAAATACACACACAGCTGTAAGTGGGGGTTCCATACCAAAAAGAAATTGAGAAAAAAATGCATACTGAAAGAGACCCCTGTGCTCTTTCCCCCCTTAGCTCCCAGAACAGTGGCCCAAGGCCTTTTATCCTTCAGGCAAGAACTCAAAGAATATTCTTTGGGGAATCTGACCTGTTCAAAAGATACCTCAGGAGTCATCCAACAAACAGCCAGGCCACCAAGGCCAAACAATGAAGCTGACGAGCTCCGCCCACACGTTCCGTAGTCCATCCTGTTCGATATAAGCCCACAGCCAAAGATGAGCACACATTTGAGAAAAGCCTTTGACATGAGAGCCCAACATGGGAAAAACTGGAGTAAACAAACACTGCAGGAGGAGAAAACAGTATCTTCAGAGATGAGGAGAGACAGCATCCACGCAATGAGACAATAAAAAAAGAAAGATTCAGGGAACAAAGGAGCCCTGAAAAATTAAATATCTGAGAAATTCTTTTTCAACAGAAGGGTTGGAAGATAAAGTTTAGAAACACCCTTAGAAAGAGCAAAAAGACAAAGACAATTAAGAAAATTAAAAAACAAAAGACTGTATGAAATTAACCAGACCATTACATGTGGTCCAAGAGTTGAACAAAAGGGGTTCCAGAAAGGAGAAAACAGGGAGAATCAACATCCTAGAAATGAAAGACACAGGACTGTCAAATTGAAAGAGCCCACTGAGGGCCAGGACAATGAATGAAAACTTTCAAGGCATATAATAATGAAATTTCCGAACACTGAGACTAGAAGCTAGGAAAATAATGGTCTTATGCTTACAAATCTCTGAAGAAAAACACTTTCCAATCTACAATTCCATATTCAGCAAAACTTTTAAAGATATTTTTTGACATGCAAAACTTTAATTCTAAGGATTTGTAGAATTGGAAAAAAAATGAGTTAATGTGTCAATATTATCCGATTTCTTGCACTTGGAGAAGGGAGATACATAGAATGGGGGAAAGCTAAAAAGAACCCTCTAGTGCTCGTTTAGAATTGGGAGGCATCAGTAGGTATGTATGAATTTCCTACCTCGGTATACTGAAAAGAGCCAGGGAGAAGGCATGTTTACCCCTGTTAAGAATGAGCACACCCAGACCCTGGTTTCTAAATCCCATTCCCTACCAAATGCCTGATCCTGATGGGGGCAGGGAAAGCACAAGATAACCATGAAAACACCTCACTGTTCTGGGAAATAAGGAAGTGTGTGTGATGGAAATGTGTCATGAAGGACACAGAAACTGGCCTGCAGAGTGTCACTGGCTAAATCTGGAAACACTTGAGCAAAATAATGACAGTAATGGATTATAACCCAGTAAATGAGTTCATACTGATAAATAATTGGGGAAAGAGGGAAACTCTTCATTTTAGTATAGCAAAACAAAACAAAAACAAAAACAAAATCACTGTTCTGCATCATCATAGTAATAACTGCTCAGGCAACGATTACCTATGGATGCTGAAATCAGGAGTTCAAGCTCGATGAGGAATAAGTTATTTACATAATCTCCAATTATTTCCCCACAAATTACTTATTAGCAAAAGGAAAATCAGTAACTTGACAGGGGAGAAACCTGGCAGACACTATCTTAATCAAGTATCAAAGTTGGTGTCAACAATAATGGGACAACACAACATCACACACCTCCCAATGTGAAGCTCTGAGGACATATTACTGCTTATGCCGTATACCCACCAAAAACGCATAGTGTGAATCTAATCATAAGGAAACAAACCCAAACTGGGTAGGGGCGTTCACAAAATGGCTTCTAAACTTCAATAATGTAAATACAATACCATGGAAGACAAAAAAAATGAGGAACTGCTGCCAATTAAAAGGGAGAGACATAAAAGCTTCTGAACTTAAAAGAAAAAAAAATGCTGTAAAAGGACATTATTGGAACAGCAATATTTGAATCAAGACTTCATATTAAAATATTGTACCACTGTTACTTTCCAGATTTTGATGATTATACTGTGATTTTATGAGTGACTGTCTTAAATATACTCCAAGTACTTAAGGAGTAGAGGGGAATGGTGTCTGCAACTTAACACTCAAATGGTTCAGAAAAGTGTATGATTAAGAGAGAATGACAAAGCAAATGTGGCAAAATGTGAACTACTGGTGAACCTGGATGAAAATGATTCCAGAATTCTTTATACTATTCTCACAACTTTCGTGTAATTTGAAATTATTTCAAAATAGGAGCAATAAGAGAAAGAGAAAAGGCAGTGAAGGACAACCCCTTCAACTCTAACACAGAACTCTGTACATTTGTGAGGGCAGACGTGTTCATACTGAAAATACTCAGTCACAGAAATGTAAATTTTTCATTTTATTCAAAGTTGGTACAGAAGTGCTAATAACATTTCCATAAAATAATTACTATACTTCAGTTACAGGACAAGATACCACAGAAAGGAATATACTTGGCAAGAAATGTAGGTTCATCTGAAGTTTCCAAATACTCTTGAAGGCTAATGCAGCAGCTGGAGAAGTACACACAGTACACACACGACAGTGTATTTTACAGAGTCAGTAATGAAAACTGACAGCTCTTTAAGCAGATTTGTTTTTCCATTTTTTTCAACAATAACACTTTTAAAAAACACATTAAACCAAGATCATACATGTCTACAATTTTTAAAAATCAGATTGTATACAGTAGGTTAGAATAATAGTCAAGTTAGAATTGTCATGTATGGTTAACAATCCTAAATCTACAATTTCAGTTGTATTCCCTTCAATATGGAAATAACCTGGTTTATACCAAATTCTACTTTCTGCTTGCAACTAAAACATTGTACAATGTGAAGATGGACCCCATCAATCAAACCTTAAAAAAAAAAACTGGACAATAAAGGGTACACTGGAGATCAGTTTACAATTCCAAAAACTCACCAATAATGCAACAGCTTCATTTATAGTCACATTTGGTCTACAATGCGTAACTGACGAAATGATACATGTACACAATACACACCCCAGTGCACAGACTGGTCTCTTACAGAAAATATGAACAAAGCATAATAGGGAGGACACTAGGAAAAACAATTTCAACGAAGACATCTTTTTAAAATGCAATACTTACATATCAAAAGTACTAGATAAAAGCAGCAGTACTCTGCTGACATTTGGCTTAAAAATAAAGAAATGAATGAAGCGATTTCACAGGATATTAGAAAAGGAATTGGTTTTCTTCTTGAAGAAGACTACTAACTTTTGCACAGCAACTATTTTTGATATCCACCTTATCAAAAAAAAAAAAAAAAAAAGCACTGAGAAGCGTAACGTAGTTCATATGTGATTGCCAACATAGTCTGGGCAACAGGAAATGGGATATCCAAGCAAAGAATGGGTAGATCCCTGCTGTATTTCTGAACTCTGTTGGCAATCTATAAACAGAAGCAATATTGGTGGGGGAAAGCAGGGAACAGATTCCGTATCATCTGACACTAATGTAATATGTCATTATTAACAAAAATAAAGCTTTTGCATTTTAACAACGCCACAGAAAAGTCCATGAGCAAAAGACTTGTTGATTTGTTTTTGCCACTCAAAAGTTAGAGATCTCAAAGTGAAATTAGAAAATTCTAATTATACATATTTACACTGCTAGGACGACTTTCACCTAGACTAATTAAAGCAATTTTCCATGGAATTATAAATGAAAGATATTCTGCCAAAGGAATCTTCAAAAGCATTAAATTCTTACAAATGATTTTAAATTTAAAAACAACACTTAAAAAGATACAGACACATACTATATAGGACTAACAGGTTGTAACTGCTTTGCCTTAACACACATTGCTAAGCCAAAGACGTTCCTCAAACCTTTCTCTTTTTTTCCTGCATTTCTGGCACTCCTCTGCCCTCATCCCCCAAACCAGAGGTTTTACATTTCTAAAATACTGAGGGAACACACCTGTCTTTTACTACAGGAGCAATCTCTCCCTCAAGGTGCTCCGGTTAACCCTTCTCAAACATGTGACATTAGTCTACATCAGCTTTAATCTTCATCCCATGTATTACCAGAGTGGACCAAGTCTTTCCTTAAGAAGATAAATACACAAACTAGAGGAGAGTGGGAACAAAGGTAGTCACTTTTCTCCCATTCTGAGAGTTACAGCTTTTGACCTATGGGCAAAATCCAAGACAAAGACTATTTATTCATTCTTGATAAACTGGGACTATTCAGGTAAAGAAAGCAAGGGATAAGACAAGGGCAATACGGAGTGCAAGAAAACACATTTTCTTCTGCACGCACATTCTGATTTCATCTACTCTAACCATGAAGCAGGGAATGGGACAGGTAAAAGAATGCTTTAGACTCTTATAACCCCTGTGAAAAGCAAAGTAGCTCGTTTGGCAGATATGTCTCAGATTTAGTTTGATGCTCAGAACACTTGGATCAAATTCTGCTCTATTAAAATGAAGTGCAGTAAAGCACATGAAAAAATAAAGATACGTTCACCTCTTACAAACCTACACAAAGATTCAAGACAAGTAGTATTTGCCCTGTTAAAATGTAAAATTTCTCCATGTTTTCAGGGAACTACTGATAGCAGGTAAAACTGCCTAAAGATTTAAGATAAAAAATAGTAACACCAACGGCTGTACAGCTTAAAGCAAAAGCTTGTCAAACTCTTCCACCCACCAAAAGCCTAGAAGTCTGTCCCTGTTTTAGTTCCAGACTGTAGGAAAGAACCCAGAGACCCCATTTTCGCTAGTAACCCCCAAATATAGCTCCAACATTCTTGATTATTTGTCTCTTCTCCCTCTACCAAAGTCGTACAAACTTACTCAGATTATTACACTTGAATCACTTATCATTTAGGACCACAACTCAGGATCCCTCATTGTCTGGGGCTTCCAATACTGGGGTCCTCCACAACTCCCAAGACAAACACCCGGTGGGCTGTACAAGCGGCACTTGTGGGGTCCTAAGAAATCCTGTCAGTCTTGTGCTTTCTACATGTGGAGACACACACCTGCACGACGTGATTTGTGCTTTCTATGGACTTTTACTTTAAGCTTCTTACCTATCATGGAATGTGAAACTGTTGTCAGATGTATGTTCTCAGATATGCCTATCAAACCTGCACTGGAAAAACAATAGTTAAAATATACTCACAGAATTAATAAGTAACCTTACAGTTTTAATTAAGGATATAAAACAAATATAGATGAATAAATAACATTTAAACTGCAACAGGAATTAGAGCTACCTGGTTTCCTTGAACCTAAACAAAGGCTGTGTATAAAGTATGTAAATATAAATGTATTTTTTGTATTTCCTTGACTAGTTGTAACAAAATTTAAAAAGAGGAATTGTTACAAATAAGTATATTCTATCAGGAAAGGGAAATGTGTAAACTAGCAGAGTCAATATTGGCAACCAGAAGGCACTAATAAAAACACATAAATTTCAGAAGCTGATTATATTATAAAATACCCTATATATTGGCCTTGGCCAATTTGGGATTTCAATAACAGCAATGAGCTTAATTTCAGTTTCCAACTGTTATAACCAAAAAGTGAGTTAATTAAGGAACAGTCATTCCACTTAATAGAAGTCTAGGCTACAATGATATATTGAAAAATTATCCAGACTAATTTGTCCAAAGGCAATTAAAAAAAAGTAAACACTCCTTCCTCCAGCAGCACTGGGGTACAAGGTGAATTTACCAAGATAAATGTAAGTCTCCAATAAGGTTGTGGTTATCTACCGTCAATTTGTGCTGTTGCGGAAATCAATGAAATATGTATTTCCCTTATTGACAGAGTTCACAGACTGTAAACTATCTTAAACTTGGGGTAGGGGTAGGAGAGGATGGAGGGGCTTCATTATCATGGACAACAATTATGATATAGAGCTTTTCTGATAGCAAAGCCACTGCTCCCACACTAAGAAAAATCTGAGACCACTGTGCTTTTGTCCTGACTTGCTCTTAATTTGCTTATTTGTTCTAGCATCCCTCTCTTCAATCATAGTATGAATCCAGATAACCAAACCACACTGAAAAGTCATTACATAAAGTAAGGTTATTGGTTTAAAATCAAAAGCTTCAGATTATGGTCCTCCCCTAAAAAGTAAAGTATGTGAAATCAGTAACGATACAGATACATCAAACCTTTTTCACCTATTTCTGAGTAAGACAATGTATCCATGGTTAAGGCTGTTAGTTACCAGATAAACTGGGTGCTTAACCCAAAACAAAAAACTAAATCTTATCTTTTATATAAAGGATTTAAGATGGAGAACAGAAACATAAATTATATCAATTTTCACAACATTCCTTTAAAGGTGAATCAGTAGTTTAAAGCCTTATTCCCAGCACTGGAAAGAAGTTTAAATAAACACATTTATAGGACTCCGTGAACAATGGTGTAGGACTCAGTGCTGGCAAAGCCTGTAAGCAGTTTGAACCTTAGCTAAATTCAATTCTAGGAGTGAAAGAAGTTGAACACCTAGTCTTCCAACAGAGGGGGAGAGTTTGATAAAAAGCATACCAAATTAAGAGAAATGACTTAATGGAGGAAAAGGGGTTTGTAGCCCTGAGTTAAGCCAACCAAGTCTAACCAAGGGTAGTAATCAAAGCTTCTTATTTAATTCAGCTTCATACCTAACTAGTACAAAAGGGTTTCTCTATAGGCCAACTGACTAGTTCCAATTTTTACCCTTAAGTACTGCAAGAACAAGGCTTTTTGGCATCAAAACAAACTCCATTCCTCTCTGTATTGTGATACCACCATCTCAAAGGGACTGGTATGAATTTTAACTATTGCTGCCTCCCTAATTTTTGAAGAAAAGAGTTTTCGGAATATAATAATGATGAATTACTAGGGCTTTTATTATTGGTGAACACTAGTGAACATTAGTCTGAGAAAGTCATTCTTGAGAATTTAATAGTTTAAGCTAATAGAAATTTAGTGTATTTAAACACAACTATGTTTTATATATATAATAAATTATTTGGATCCAAGTCTTCAAAACTGGGGCAAAGCAGCACTTTTGCGCATCATAGCAATAAGCCTGAACGTGAATTAAGCTGATAAAAGATCAAAATAGGAATTTGAGAAGCGTTAAAAGAAAGAACAGGTGAAGAATTAAAGCAATGTGAGGGAAGACAAACAGAGGCAAAGACCAGTCTCTCTGAATGGTAGGTAGGTGGGTATACCACAAATAGGAATATACCCTATTTGTAAAGTCTGCTCAAGCTAATGTCAACATCAAAATGTCTTAATGCAATTTAACACTTCATTAATGAGCAATCTTATGAATACAAGCCTAAAAGCATTTTTTTCTACTAAAGTATCACTATCAAATATCAGTCCTTTTAACCTCAAATATGTTTTAAAAACTCCTATTTCACAATATTTAACATCAAACCAGGGTTTAACTGGCTGGATCTTATTCATTGGTATCCTAATCTATAGGGGAAAGGTTTAAACTAGCCGACAGCCAAGATGCTTCCAGTTCTAGAATTCACTGAACAGAATTCTCCATCTGCACATTTTAAGCTAATGTTTGTCCTTTGCCTAACTTGTTAAGTTTGTATCACCCAGGTATTTCTCAGCATCTCATTTAATAGTTTTTCTGACTTCTTAGGAAAATTTTGTCCTGGCAAGTCTCTGTGGTCACATAATGTAACAGGAATGGTCTACACACATCACTCAATCCAGAACTGGGGAATGGTGGCAAGGTGTCACTCACTACTCCATACCCACGTGGTCCTTTCCAGCCATCATACCACAGATGAAAACAACACAGCGGAGTAAAAACTATAAGGGAAGTAAGTAAGCCAAATACTGCCAAGTGGGAGCACTGATGGGTCTAACCTTTTAATAGCTAATGATATAGCCAGTCTGTAGGATGGTAAAGAATGAGAATAACGCACAGGCTGCACTGAATGATATTTGAATAGAGAGGGGAAGATCCATGCACCCTGTAAGTATAGGGAAGAAAAAGCAATGGACTGAGAAATGGAGACACTTAGAGACTCTCAGTGCCCTGGACAAGACTTTTCAGTTCCCCCACTCCCAATTAGCCTCGGGTTAAAGAACTGAGTGACAACCTCCCAATCAATTCTTAAAATGTTAAGTTTCACATGTGATAGGTCTCTGCTAATTACTTGACCATGCTAAGAACTATGATCCTGGCCAGACTCTTTGTGCAAAAAGACAATGAATCCTTTGAGCCAATTGAAAAGGAAGCCTTGCGAGAGGAGATCTGCTGAAAATAGGCCAAAGGACACAGTACCACCACTATTGCTTGATGCTTTCCTAACCTAAAGATAAGAGTGAAAACCTCACCAGGAAGAGAATGGCTGTGGAAAAAGATTGGCTCAGCTATTTCAAAAGCCACTTACTATCTTGGAGCAAAAGGACATATATTTTTGGAGCCAATAATTCTTCTGCGTGCCAGAGTAATAAGCTCTGCTCATCAGATCTTAGGACTGAGACTGCCTGAAAGGATAAAAATCTAAGAACTGGGGATACCACTAACAGCAGATCAGACAGTATTTTTCTCTACCTTTGAAGAACCAGTGTCCTCACTTCATTTTGACTCTTGGGTAACTATTTTAGTCAATATCACTCTTATTCAATTCTGAACCTTAGCTTGAGCCAATATAAAAATATATACATATTAATGTCTACAGATGAAATGTCATCATTTAGGACCCATTTAGTGTAAAGTAAGAACATTTTGCTAGCTTAACACAGACCAGGTATCACTCCATCACATACTGAACAGTGGTCCCCTGAATGAAGCTGCAATCAGCAATTCACATACTTATTCAAGCACATTACCTACTACTGGAAAGCAATAAGAAGGGCAAGATTCAGGGACTTCAGTCTCAACAGTGATGATTATACTGGCAAGAATAAACATCCTAATGGATATACTAACAGTCATTCCTTATTTACAGACATTAGTACTCTAAACTTGACCTACCGCTATATATACACAAATAGACACAAGATGATGTATTTCATGTATCGTACTAAGACAGCAGCAAAGAGAAGGGGGGGGCGGGATCCTAATACTTCAAACTATTAGGGCTCAACATTAAATAAAGGGGAAAAAAACTCACATAAACACCACCTATTAATTTATGCTGTAAGAAGGGGTAAGAAGGCTGCCCAGCCACTGTGTCAATCCTCTTTGCTGAGTTACACAGCAATGTGTTCAAAGTCAAAGAAAATTTTAATTCCTATGACTTAATGCCAATTTAAAAAATCTAAGGTCCTATTATTTTCCCAAATACCAAAAGGTTGTCTCAAAGGAAAAACAGTTCCTTTCAGAAGAGGACAAACCATGAGTCCAGCTTTGCATACATGGTTTTTCTGTTCTTCCCAATAAGACTTTTTGTGACCTTGGACGTATCAGAGCCACAGCCTCCGCCAAAGAAAAGGATGGTCCCTATTTATTTGGCCCCCAGCTTATAAACTGTAAGAATGAAATTGAGAAAAAACTCTACAAGGCACTCTAAGCTCTCAGAAATCATGCTATTCATACATGAGTTATTTTTTCATCTACAGACTCAGTCCATCAGAAAGCCTCCTGGAGATGGGAAGACATTATGCTACCTGATAATTTCTAAAATCAACTTTGGACTAATCAAGTCCATCATAATGAAACTCGTTTATAGAATACAAAAAATTTAAAGTCATTAGGACTGAGTTTTGATTCAAAAATCTACAAAAGTATCTAAAAAAGTAATACTTTTCCCTAAAGAATACAAGCTTCATAAAATCATGCAATTTAAAAAGTATCAGAGATTACAGGAAAGTCAAAGAAAGTAGATACACAATTAGTTTCCTTCATATGTCATGGAGGAAAAAGGACCATGTTGAGCACACAGACACAGAACTTCGTAATCTGTAGACCTTTTCTCTAATGTCTTTTGTATCCTGTCCTCAAGAAGGGGAATCAGCCTGTGAAAAAGATTCCCATCCACGAAGGTTACAACGGAGTGCCAAGCCACGTGGAGACAGAGGATCTTGTAAGTACACAAGTCATAGGATATCCTCCACAAGACATACTACTAAACCCAGAAGTTCTTATTCATGACACCTCTTTAACATGCTACCCACTCTATAGAAAGACTATACTGACAATCTACCAATGGCAAAGCATGCACTCAGTTTTCTGTTACTGATGCCGAGTTTGCACTGGAACCTCCTCATGCTCTAAGTCAATGTAACTTTTTAAAAATGTAGAGGCCGTGTACAGATGGCAAGTCTTTCCAAAAAAAAAAAAAGTAAATCAGGAAAACAAACTTATCAAGGATAAAATATGATCTCAGAATTATATTTTCCCTCCAAAAACTCAACTTCAATACATCATGATCTAATCAAGCAGGGCAACCCAGCACAAAGGCACTGACAATTTTCTTCAAATTTCTGGACATATCTTCCAACTGAATCCACTGGGAAAAGTGTGTGGCTAATAAAAAAGGTTACCAAATGACAAGAACAAAGAACAAAGCTAGAGAATTAGTGGAGTATGAGCCTGTTTAGCATAAGCTGATCAAACACTGCTTGAGGACTGCTAATTCCCAAACTATATAAACAACCTTAACTTGGTCAATCAATTTGGGGATCATCAGCAATGTTTACTTCATTTTCTCCCCTAATCATCTGACAATACAATCATGACATAACTTTTTTATCAAGACAGAGTTGGTGGTCATTTGAGTATGGTTCACTTAAACTTCAGTCAAAGTAGGGGAAAAAAAAAAAAAAAAGGAACTGAAACAAACTTTTTACCAACATTCCGTATGTTGGTGGTACAAGAACAGCTACAGGTAAACATTCTTCTTCCTTTCTTTTGGCAATCAGAATCCACAGGCTCATGCTAGCAAAATGAACCTGGCAAACAAACTAACCTGTCCTGATACAAGGACCCCACAAGCACATCAGTTAGGTTTTCAGTACACAACTGATTATACATGTCCACGAATTCAGTTTTAAATGGTAGTAGGGATTACAGAGACAGAGAAAAAACTCTGAAATGAGCAAGTCCTCTACTTCAGGATTAAGAAGGCCTACCAAGATTTGGCAGTGCACACAATATACCTTATTTGTAAGAATCTTAGCATATATTCTGCTCTACATGTTCTATGAGAATAATTGGTCTCTCCTTACTTTGGTATGGAAAATTTTAAACCACATTTGCACAATTCAGTCTGTTAAACAAGTTTACTTCATTTAGGTTGAAAATTTACTTTCATCCATCTCTGGGAAAATAAAGTCTTGCAAATAGATGATTTTCTGCTAAGTAAAATTTGGCTAAAACCTATAGCGTAAACAATGCCTGAGAGATGCAACAGTTACATAAGTTTTGTTTTTGTTTTTTTTCCAAAGACCAGTATTTTCTTAAGTTAGTGTCTCATCATATCCTTAAAAAGTTCATAAGGAGAAATAAACAAACATGAAAATTCCAAGTGAACACACAGCAAAAAGTCCGATATTTAATATTAGTTTAACTTGTGGAGGCTCTTCCAACATTTGTAAACAAACAGCCTCCTCCTCCATCAGGTCTCTGAGACTCCTCTTGCTGAGGCTCTTACTTTTAAAGCCACAGAACCAGTCTATGAACTTCCAGTACCGGCCTCCATCCTCTGTTTCCTTCTTTCTCTCTTTCTCACCCATAAGAGCTGCTTGCCCATTGGAATAAGCATCTACTGGTGTTTCTGCCTCTGAATGCCCTAACGAAGCCACCGGATTGCCCTCTTCTCTGCAGGTCACCAAGAGATTAACATCTTCCGGCTGAAGGCCCTTGATACTATCTTCAGATTTCCCATTGGGAATGATGTGGTTGATGGCCTCACTGTTCTCACTGCACCTCAGAATGCTCTTCTCTTGCATTTTGTACGGTTCATCTTTCGGGGAGCAGCTTTCCTTCACCACCAGGCTCTTCTTAGACCAAAAGGTGGTGGTACGAATCTGTTCCTTTGTGGGAGGTGGTGTGAGAAGGCTAACAATTACAGTAATGAGTCCTGTGACCCAAAACAATGCTGTGGCCACATACATGTAATGGATGTCTTTGATGAAGCCTGGCCTGTTATCAGGTTGGTCACATTCTGGGGCACGGTATGCAAAGGCCAGTGTCAAACGGACTGCTCCAAGAACAAAGCCAGCCATTCCACCATAGAAAGCCCCTTGCTCATTGCAGCGCTTCCAGAAAATTGCCAGAAGGAACAGGGCCGCAACTGGGGGTGTCAGGTAATCTGCTACCTCCTGAATGTAAAGGTACATCTGGCCTCCTTGCATCTCCACGATGATTGGCACCCATGCAATGCTGATCACCACCATAAAAGCCACAAATATCCTCCCCACAATCATTAGTTCCCTGGAGCTTGCGCTCCTGCGGATGAGTTTGTACACATCGAGGGTGAATATGGTACTGGCACTGTTAAAGATAGAGTCCAAGTCGCTCATCAGAGCTGCAATCATCACTGCCATCATTAAGCCACGGAGGCCCACGGGAACCAGCTTCATCACCAGGCGTGGGTAAGCAATATTAGAGCACCCAGCTCTGCTTCCACATACTTGCATGCAGTGCTCTGGGTTGATGCAAGCTATATCATCAGCAAACAGTATTCTGGAAATCATTCCTGGGACAACTATGATAAACATTGGCAGAAGCTTCAAGAAGCCAGCCATAAGAGTAGAGCCTTTGGCATGAGCAATGTTTTTAGCTGCTAAGACTCTCTGCACGATGACTTGGTCAGCACACCAGTACCATACTGAAGCTGGGGTCTGCCCAAGAACGAATCCAGGCCAAGGAACATCTTCATCTGTTGGATTCCGCAACATTTTCAGTGCATCTTTCTTAGGGTGGACATGACAAGAATTTGTGTTGGAAAGGTTGTATGTCAACAAGATGGAAGTAACATTGGGTGAGGCCAACATGTACCTTCTCTTAACTTCCTCAAACCCGCCAATCTCCATCATGCTAATAATCATAAGTGTGAGTGCCCCAACGATCATAAGCAGAGCCTGGAGAGTGTCTGTGTAGATCACTGCAACAAGGCCTCCGGTGACAGTCAGCAAAGCAGTCATGCCAATGAGCAGGATGACAGACACATAGAGGTTCCAACCCAAAGACTCCTGGATAAAGAGGGCACCTGAATACAGATCCACTGAGAGCTTGGTGAAGATATAGAGAATCAGAGACAAGGCTGCGAAATAGACCTGAATCCTATGGCCACCAAATCGCTTGGACAAGTATTCAGGCATGGTGTATACCCCTGACCGGATGTAAATAGGGATGAAAACCCATCCCAGAAGTTGCAAAAGCAGTAAGGCATTGAATTCCCATGCGCCCACTGCAAATCCACTTGCAGCTCCAGATCCTGCCAGCCCAATGAAGTGCTCACTCCCAATATTGCTCACAAACAGAGAGGCACCAATTGCTACCCAGGTCATAGAGCGCCCCGCCAGGAAGTATCCACTCACGGTGCTTCTATTAGATTTCCACATGGCAAAAAAACCAATGCACATGACCAGGATAAAATACAGGGCCACTATGGCAATGTCTGCTGTCTCCAGTACAGCCCTCATTTTGGTAACTTTGTGAATAAAAGTGTCCAATGACAGAAGTGTCCGACTTTTTATTTACTCATTAGTAACCCCAAACAAGTCTGTAAACCATACGTGAACTGGACTACACAGAGCAACACAGCAGGTCAAAGTCTTTGTCCTTTGGTTTGCTGTCTTGATGGTGGTGGTTGTGATAAACTTTGAAGGAGACAGTTTAAATTTTCCTCCGCTTCTTAATTGGGATTGAGAACTTAGCTCGTACTCTTAATCCACTCTCCACAAGACCATCAGCATTTACTCAGGTGCTGGAGGAGAAATTCTGAGTTGCAGCTAAGTTAGTGAAGCCTACTGTACCAACCCTGCAAGGCAGCAAAGACAAAAGACAAAGATTGAATTAGAGGAGGGTCTCACCAAGTGATGAGGAAACTTTCAGTCTAGCAAAAACGGCGCAATAAGACATTCTTTATAAAAAGAAAAAAAATTTTTAATATACTTCAGTTCCACAGGAAAGAGCAATCTAAACTAGCACATCAGGTACTTAAAGTCATGAGAATATTTATCATTTTGAACTAAGAACAAAAATTCATTGACCTCATAACTAAGTGACCTAACTTCTCTAGCAACTAAGAACTGCCTACCATGACATTGCCCTTTTTTTGTCTTGCTGTGGTCGTCTCAGATTGGAACAGACACCAAGATCTTAAAGCACCTTAAGGGAAAAGGGTGGGGAAAAAACACTAATTATTCATAAGGGCACCAGAATGAATCTTCAAATGCTATGAATCCTGAATAATGCACTCTATCGCCAGTTAGGGTACTGTATGGAATAGGCTCAATAGACTCAACTCAGTGTTATCATCTACCCCCCAAACACAAAATCAAGTATCACTTAGTCTATGCAAATTTATTATTGTAAAATTTTCCTAAATTCCTACTACAAATGTGTATGTGGTAGTTATACAGTAACGTAGAAATTGTGAAATGACTCCTGCCCTAGAGGGAAACAAGACATTCCAGACAAAAAAAAAAAAAAAAAACACAAAAAACTAGGAACATACAACTTATAAAACCCTAACATTTTATTATTTCTCCTAGCTAGAAGACATCAGAAGATTTTTGAAAAATGTTCAAAAAGGTAATTTCCTTCCCTTCCTTTCACCAGGCAGTAATTAGTAATTCTAAGAGAATCTCTGAGAGGATAAAGGCACAGTGACACAAAGTTTGATCTTGTTGAGTAGTTTTCCTTTTAATTATGCTTTCTTATTGAAGGGTACAGAAAGCAAGGAGAGTAGGGAAGAGGAGAACAAAATTTCTGAAAGACTGAAAAATAATGTATTAGCTCTTCCAAACCTCAATGAAACAAACATTTATCAACCATTAGATAACAAGTTATCTTCAATTAAGTCAGTCAGACATTTTTCAGTCCTGGATTAAGGGGAAAAAAAAAAAATCACTCTGCAAAACAGACATTTAAATCCATCTAAAATCAAGTTTATGAATCTGATGGTTTTCTCCTGAAAAAGAGACAAATTCTACATCTACAAAGTTAATTATAATTGTAGCTAAGAGATCAATTTGAAGAACATTTTGTTATTCATCCTATGCCTGCCACACATCGACTTCTAATGTGAGTTTTCCTTTTGTGATAAACCAACCTCAAAGTGAAGTGTTTTTCTATACTCAATTAAGTAGATGCTTTTTGATAATCTACGCATTTTCCTTTAAAAAAAAGACCTATAAATGATACTAAAGCCACTACTTTCCAAAACTGTTCAAAATAGACCACAGTATTAAAAAAACTTTTAAAAACACACCTCTCACTGACCAGGAAAGGAGCTGGAAATAATGGCTAAAGATAAACATTCTACTGAATTAGGTTATTAGGTCTAATTCATAAGGCTGCCTAGTTGTAAATGTCTTAAACCCATCTTTATGCCTTTTTTAAGCATACAGCACTATAATAATTATACTAAGAAAATGGATTACTATCCTTCCTAAGAGGCAGTGTCAATAATGACTGACATGAATAAAACTCTCACACACAAAAGCATCAAATACACTAACAGTTGGGATTTGTATCACTTCAGACTTGCCAAATCTTGAAAGCTGGTCATATTTCTGTGACCACTTTTCCCACCCCAAAAACTTCCTAAAGAAACACTTGGACAGGGGCGCCTGGGTGGCTCAGTTGGTTAAGCGACTGCCTTCGGCTCAGGTCATGATCCTGGAGTCACAGGATCAAGTCCCGCATCGGGCTCCCTGCTC